ACTGATCCCTGCCCTCCCACCCCAGCATCCCAGGGAACCCTGCCCCCAAAAATCCTCAGCACTTACCAGCAGTTCCAGCTGCTGTCAGGGTCACTGGAGCCCCCCACCCCTGGCACAGCGTGGGCCAAGGTGACAGCTCCAGCAGCCCCAGCCCTCCTGCTGCCCTGTGCTGCCTGGGAGGGCTCTGCCAGGAAGCCCCAGAGTCCCCACAGCCCCTGCTTAGTGAATAGGGGCTTTTTTTTTTTTTTTTAAGTGCCCTAGGGGAGCAAGTGGGGGTGGGGCACATGGGCCCTGGACGGTGGGGCACGTAGGCCCTGTCGGGGGCTGTGGCCCCTGTGGGGGGCAGCAAAACATGTATTCATGAATTCATAAAACATGTATTTAGAATTAACTTTATTATTATGATAGAGACACTGGTAGTCTTCCAAATTGCTTTAACACTAGATATATCAATAAAACATTGCCCAGCTGATGGCTCTCTCTGTCTCTGTCTCTCGCTCTAGTGGTCTTTTGTTTTAATTGTGGAGGAACATGGATTTTGGGGTATTTTACAGAGTGACTTTGGGATTTTTTTATCAGGGATTTTTCAGTTTTCCAATAGGGAACACCAGAATTCCTGCTAGGGAGGCCAGTGGCAGGACCCTGCTTGCTCAGAGCTGACACCTTGGACCCAGCTGGAGGTGGCTGACCTCCTGGCCAATTGTTGCCAGGAGGACATGATTTGACAATTCAAAGCAGGCCACCACACTGGGAACATCTGGGTGATAGCTGTCCAGATGGTTGGGCAGGGGCATATATGGCAGTAGTGCTGCACAAAGGCCAGCCCTGCAGCCACAGCCTGCTGGCAGCTGGCCCAGAGGGGCAGATGCCTCTACTGACTGTGCAGTCCCCGCCTGGATCTGGCAGCTGTCCAGCAGGTCACAGCCAGGCAGCAGCCCCCACTGCCAGACTGCTGCAGTGTGTAGAGGGTGCAGGGAACTCTCAGGGCTGCTTCAGCAGTCCAGCTGGCACAAGGGGTAGTGTCACCAGGTACCAGTTGGCTGGGCCCTAGAAGCTCCTTAGAGTGAGTAGCCCTGAGCTATGTTCCAGGATAGCTTTTTGTACTGATGGGGCCAGGAGAGAGCAGCTTTTTATACTTCTGGGGACAGCACAGGTGCTGGCCCCAGGCTCTAGCTTCTTATGGCTGCAGATCCAGAAGGAGCCAGGCAGGGTTATTTTGCCCCAAGTGGCATAATTTGCTCCAACAAAGTGCATGTCCAAGCACATGCACTGAGGCAAAAAGCCCCGGCTTTAATTTGCATTGGGGCTTGCGCTGGGCTCTATTTGAGCTGCTGCAAGCGCACGTGCTTGCATGTATACATGTGCCTGTGAGGTCCTTTCCAGCCCAGTTTCCTTTGACTTTGTTGTAGAATTTTTCGTTTGGTCAGAAATTTCTTAACATAATTAGTATATGGCCTGAACATAAAAACTAATTTTAGACCAGAGACTAGTTTTATTGTAAATAACAGAGATTATATTTAAACACTATAAAAACTTGGAAGCGTTTGTGTGTGCGTGTGTAGCTTCTGAACTCACTTATATGAAGAATCTCTCCTAGTGACCTTCTTCAGATTAACAGATGCTACAACAGAAATCAAGAAAGTCAATAAAAACTGACTACAACTAAAAGTATAAGAAGCAAAATCCACAAAAGAATTCATACATGTCATTTTAGCTTTGTAGTCATAACTGTTAATAGTCTAAAAGAAAATATACCTATAACCTGCCAAGATATGGCACTTTACTGTAAAACTTTCCCTAAAATATGATCCTGTGGCCCCTTCTGCATATTACACAATTAACTGGTAAACTGGCCAAGAAATTTAGACTGACCACATTGTGCAAAGTAATCATCACACGATAAAATGACTATTCAGTTATAAAAAGAGCCATTCAGCTATAAAGTTAGTGCTTGAAAATGTGTAACAGCTCTATAGCTGGTTTCTATCCAGTTTTAATTTGAACATGTAGCAGGGCCTTATGTTACTTTATTCATCTATAACTAATAAATTTGGGTCCAGTGGGTGTACAAAGTTACCTTGTGTTTAGACTAGGGTTTGGAAGTCAAATCTGGACCAGAGTTCACTATTCACTTTTTATAACTGACTAGAAGATAATTGATATGTGTTTTGAGATAATATTTCTGTTTTCCTGATTAATAGTACTTTGGCCACTTAAGAAAATTTGTGTGTTTTATTTATTATTTTAAATGGTGTTGGTGTTTGGAAGTTCCAAGTCTAGATATATTTCAGCACCCTGTCATATTTAATTAAACAACATATTTATATTAAACAACACTGAAAAAACATTGTTCTTAGTGCAAACCTCTGAGTTTATTTTGTGTCTTGAAGTAGGAAGACAACACTGTGACCACGTGGAATTTGGACATTAAGAACATATTCTTTTTTCTTTGGCAAATACTACATCCTGGGTTATTCTATTGTAAACAAATATTCTTGTGTTTTGAGTTAAATATTTAATGCCTATACGTCTTTTATTGGTTTCCTGTATAAATAGAAAAATTAGCATTGTTTAATAGTTTAACGTTGATTATTTATTCTGGTTACTCTATTGTAGACATATACTGTTTTGTTTGAGACAGATTTCGTTCCAAACACATCTGATGATGAAAGAAGGTATAAAATAGGAAATCAGGCAAATGTTGGATTGTTTAATCTGGACAAGCTATTACAAGCTCTAAAACCTTTATTGGATTCCAGACAAAAGCAGCTGTAAGTAATCCTTGAAATATCTTTATATTTAAAAGAACTAGTGAAATGAGATGCACCCTAATAACCACATGTTTAAGAGAGAAAATATTTTCTTTTTAAGGAGTCTGGTTTCTATAGAAAAAGTGTTTTTATATTTGGCTGATTAGGGTCATTTGGCTTCTTAAAAATGTGTACATTTAATTTATTTGCATTACTACTTCAAAAGATTACCATCCAAACAAGATTGTTTAAAAAAGGTTGGGAAAATCCCCTATATGGTGGTGGGGGAGACTGTTCATAATTGCCAAGTTAAAATTGTATCAGCTAAAGAAATGTTTCATCTTTCAGTGTGAAGGTGGCCTTGATAGCATGAGTTCATGGGAACTAACATTTCTTTTCTTTTATAGGGCTTTTCAGATTGTGGAGGGATACTCTAGTCACTATTATCTCCAGTAAGCAATTACCATAACTCAGATTTTAAAGAAGCATATACTATATTATGTTTTCAAAATAGTTTCCTCATTATTGTTCCTGCTTTCAGTTTTACAGAACTATTCAAAGCAAAACTAGGTTTCCTTGGGGAAGGTGAGGATGATTACTATTTGATTGCATTCCTCCTAAGAGTGAGTTTAATATTATTCATTCTTTTGATAAGTATTTGAATCAATTTTACTACTTTAAAAAGACTGATAGAAATGTACTTATTTCATTAGCTCATGGAAGATACAAAAGCTGATTTTACAATGACATTTCGACAGCTTAGTGAAATTACTCAAGACCAGCTAAAGGAGCTTCATATTCCCAAGGTATTTATTTGTATGATAGGAATATATCATTGGCTTTTTAATTCACTTTAGCTGCAATGGCATTTTAAAATAAAATGGATGAATAATGAAAGATATATACTGAAAACTATGGGGGTCAAATTTTCCATAACAGGCACAATGTGAACATTCAGAAAAATGTATCCACACACCCCTCAATTTGCATGACTGCTGGCACACACTGCATGCCACCATTGCTCACATTAGAAGTAAAGATTGATATTAGAAAACCATTTTCTGACTTTCACAGCTGCTTTTAAACAATAGAAATATTAACAGAAATGCACAGTTCTTAGTGAAGGAACAGCTAATAATACTATGTCATAATGCATATACAGCATCTTACAGACTTTGCAGAATAAGACTCTTATTTTCCAAACACATTTAAGAAGCTCTAAGTGATCTACTCAGTAGCTTATATTCCTATGTCGGTGTTCACTAGAAGTATATTTTCAAAAAGGTCGATTATGTTGTGCATGCAAAGTATCCCATGTCCTTAAACACTTCGAGAGCTTCTTTAGAGTTTGAGTAAGAGTTGCACACCTTAGAGCAGGGGTCAGCAACGTACAGACCCTGGGCTGGATGTAGCTTGTGAGATGGTCTGACTTGACCAGGGGTGCCATGGAAGCTCAGGTGGCACACAGCTAGATATCTGCAGCAAGGCATGGGGCGGCCAGAGGTGGAGATTTGCAGCCTGTGGCTTGGAGCCAGATGGCAACCTGGTTCTGGGCAGCAAAATGTTGCTGACTCTTGTCTTACAGCATCAGGCCCAAAGTGTACATCAGGGCAAACAAGGGATTATTTATGCAGAAGAGGTTCCTTTACCAAAGGAATTCCTAGGTGTGCATTTAGCTATTTCCCTCATGCAGTTGCCTGCTTGTAATGCACATGAAATGACCTTCCTTTTAAAACACTTTAAGAAAAACACTGTATAAGAACTAATTTTTATTCTTGTATGCAGCAATAAGCTCCTACTTTTGGAAATATGGTAAAAGGAGTATTTGAGCCCTATAACTTGTAGGCCGCGTTTGGGGAAATTAGCATTTCTAGGATTCAGTCCTATGGTTAGAAGTCACTAAAATAGCCCAGATCTTCAGGTGATGTAAATTATACATTAGCATTCCATTCTCTTCTATAGCGATGTACCAGCTTATGTCATCAAAGAATCAGCTTGGATTTCTTTTTCTTTTTAAAAAATACACAGCCAAACATAAAATTAAGTGTTTACAATAGTCAAAGTAGTCATTTGCATGTACACATATATCAGCAAAATTTCTAATAGTTTTGCTCACAGCACTGGCATTCATAGAAATCAATTTAATTGGATTAAATTTAATTGTAATGTAATTAAATTGGTTAAGACTTCTATGGCACTTTGAATAAGTGGGAGGCAGTTAGCCATGTTAGTCTGAAGGCAGGGCAGAGATGCACCTTTATAGACTAACTATCGTATTTACTCAAATCTCAGGTAACCTTGAATTTGAGATGCCCCCCCCCCCCAATAATTGGATTCTGTACATGGAAAATTTATAAATTTGTTATAATTTTCCATGTATAGAGTATAATTGGACAGGTGTTTTTAATTTATACTCCACACTGCTGCAGGGGAGCAGGCAGTGGAGGGCCAGGTGGTATAGAGAAGTCAAGGAGCTTGCCCCCTGCTTATGCCTTCCCCCTGCCTGCCTTATTTATGGTAAATAAGAAAGATATATAGAGCACAAGCTTACTTTGAGTAAGTGACACAGCAGAGCGACAAATATAATCCAGTATTAAATGCATATAGTAGGTTGCTGTAAGAGAAGTGCTGTTTTACACACAGCCTGCTCTTCTAGGAGATAATGATGATGGAGTTTGTAAAATAATTTTCCCTTTAGAATTGCCTGTTTTATTTTAGGCTTTCAGTGTCCATTTCCATGGCAGCAAAGCAGTTAGGAATCTGGTAGATTTCAAAGGGAGAACAAAACAGGGAATTCCTGTTTCACAGCAGCAGTTACAGATTTAAAAATCTAAAATGCTCTGATACCTATAAGCTTGCTTAATAACCATTCTCCAACCATTTGGGTTGGTCTAATAAAAGATATCAAATTCACCCAAGGAACCTTGTCTGCCTATGTCCTTAGACCAACATGGCTACAACCTAAACCCCTGATACCTTCAGTATGTTTAATCCCAGCCCTTGTAAACATGATAAACAAATATTAAGGTCCATGAACTGGCAAAAACCCTACCCTAACTCAGGCCTGCCAAATTTAAGTCTTATACCCAGCTTGGGTCCCTATCACTGTCTTGTGTCCACATAATTGCATCAATCTTAATCCCCACCAGAGTCCACAGTGGTTTACCTAACCCTAAACCTGCTGAGTATAACAAGCTGAACTCAACCCAAATCCACAGGTCATTCCTGACTCCAAGCCTAGCCCAGCATGGCCCAGTGCAGGCCATGCTGCTAGCACCAAACCTAATGTTAACCCGGTCTCTCTAGGTCAGGGTTGTCTTTGTGGTGGGAGCTGCACCCATCCTGCAGGGGGTGGTCCCTTGTAATCCGTCCACACAATGTGGACAGTGCCAGTGGCATGTAGTCTCCCTGCTTTCTGGGTAGCACTGGTGGCATGCAGCCCTCTGGGCAGTGCTGGTGAAGCACAGTCTTCCCCTGCCATGTGATAGTGGCTGCAGGGGCCACAGATTGCATGTTAACCTCTCATGGGACACCTGCTCTTGGTAATCCAGAAGTTTAAATTTAACTTGGATTCACCAGGCCTGAACTCACCAGTTGCTCCAAACACCTAATTCCACCTATTGCTACATGTTGCCACACTGCCTTGTGCCTGACACCTTGCAGCCCTAGCACTCCTGATTGTCCCCCTCAACTGCAGAACCAGACCCAGGCACGTCTAGAACACGGGAATGTCTTTTCTTTGTTCCCTGCCATCCCAGGGCTACTTGCAGCTGAGCCTCTCTTCCATGGCTAAATAGTAAAATAAGAGGTGTAAAACCATCCAGCAGCTGTAAGAGATGAGCAAGGGAAGTACAGAGACTTCATGTAATGCTGTCCCCAGCAAGGGAGAAGTAATTGAACATGGGCTGACAATGCGAGGTCATGATCAGTAGGGCTATCCATACCTTGTCGTGCATCCACAGATGCATTCCAAGCAGGGCCAAGAAGGTGATCCTCCCCCTCTTTGTGACATTGGTTAGGCCGCAGCTGGAGTACTCTGTTCAGTTCTGGGTGCCACACTTCAGGAGGGATGTGGACAGCATTGAGAGGGTCCAGAGGAGGGCCACCCGCATGATCCGGGGACAGCAGGGCAGACCCTACGAAGAGAGGCTACGGGACCTTAACCCATTCAGCCTCCACAAGAGAAGGCTGTGGGGGGGACCTGGTGGCCATCTATAAACTCACCAGGAGGGACCAGCAGGGTTTGGGGGAGACCCTGTTCCCCCTAGCGCCCCCCGGGGTAACAAGGAATAATGGCCACAAATTGTTAGAGAGTATGCTTACACTAGACATCTGAAGGCACTACTTCACAGTCAGGGCAGCTAGGATTTGGAACCAACTTCCGAGGGAAGTGGTGATGGCTCCTACCCTGGGGGTCTTTAAGAGGAGGCTTGCTGTCTATCTGGCTGGGGTCATTTGAGCCCGGTTTTCTCTCCTGTCCAGGGCAAGGGGTTGGACTTGATGATCTACAAGGTCCCTTCCGACCCTACTTCTATGAATCTATGAACTGAATAGGTAGAGGATGTAATATTTTGATAAGGAGTGAACAGTATACATTCCCAACAGGCAGCTCATGTGTGACAAATCAAGAAGGAAAGATTCTGTAGATTGCGCTGGAAGTGTTCTTCACCTTGTCTAGAAAACCCATAGATTTCTCGGTATTTTTTCATCTACTCACAACAGGATAGCAGACTGTGCATTGTCAGTTATAGTAGGTAGCTAATTCTCTCCTTAGCTCTTAGCTAATCGCAGGGGTAATGTGCTGTGGAGTCTCCTGCAGGTGTGAAGCAGCAGCTGTGGGTTGCAGTAGTGTTCATGGCTATTGTACCTTCCCTTCCATGGGGGGAAAGGCTGGTAAATCAGTGTGACAGGCTGTTCACATCCCCTCATCAAGCCTAAGGCCTCCTGCAATCCTTACTTGGGTAAGGGTTTTGCTTTAGGTATGTGTGTGTGTGTGCATGTGCACCATGCTTGCAGGTGTTGGCAAAACTGTTGAACAAGCTGCATGCATGCAGTGTGCCAATACGAAGCTTTTCTAGGAACAAGTATTTTGTTCATGGTAGGAAATAATTTAGCCCAGGGGTTCTAGCCCCCATACTGGTTTGCAATTCCAGATGTCATTTCCTGCAGGTTAGAAGATGCATACTTTTCAAAACAAGAACTTCATATAAAAAGTAAACCAACCTGTTGTTTATCCATGCAAGAATACTTTGCCAGTAGCAAGTTATGTTCTTTTACCCTCCTGGAGACTACTCTCATATTTTCCTCTCTGCGCCCACAAAATCTGATACATTAAAAAAAAAAAAGACAAAACCCAGCAGGAACATTGCAACCATCTCAGTATTTTAGTTTCAACTAGACATGTTCTATTTCTTCTGCTAAAGCAACTTATCCCCATACCTATGTGTAGAAACACTGGCCTTACATGCTTGCTGGCCATCCTCAGTTAGGTTTCTGGAGCTCCAATTCTTACCTATTCATTTTTTTCTTACTTGTTTATTAACTCAAATGACTTTTTCACAGTGAAGTTTTGGCCTCATGTTTCTTGCATTCTGCTTGTAGTGGAACAAACTGCTCTGTCCTGATGTTCAGATGTCCCTTGCAGATGTTCCGGGGCAAAATCCAAAATCTGCTGCCAAAAAAAAATGTAGTAATAGTTTGTCCTGGGATATTGTAAAAGGAGTCTGAACACCTGCCCCAGATGATAGGATAGCAGACCTAGGTATCTTACTGTTGGCACAGGATTTATGACCCAGATACTTTGTTCTGGGTGGACCCAAACCCTCAGACCAACCACAACTTCTCTATTTGATAACAGGCAAATTTTATTGATACACAGTGATAGCAGATAAGAATAATGCAAACAAATCTATATCTACTGGTCCTAGAGCTGTCACAGAGGGAAGGTACAGCTGGCCAGTACGTGAGCTTCACCCTGAGGTTCTTTTGTGAATGTCAGGTGTCTGCAGCCTGGAGGTCGGAGGCCGAGACTTGCCACCCCCTGTGGAGTGGGTGAGACAGGCTGGGCTGGTGGTGTCCCCTCTGTCCATGGTGGCCTCGGGTTTCCCTCTCAGGGACCCTTTGCTGCTCTGAAATCCCTCTTTTTGTATTCTTTCTTCCCTTTGATGACTCTTCACTCCTGGGCATTGTTGATTGGTTTCCCTGTGGTCATCATCAGGGATCCAGCTTTTTTCTGATTTAAAAATATCCCCAATTTTCACATAAAAAAAAGGTAACCCGAAATCCACATTTTTCCATGGCTTGAATGAAAAACCACTTACATATATATAGATATAGATATATATCTATATGTATGTGTGTGTGTGTGTGTGTGTGTGTGTGTGTGTGTGTGTGTGTGTATGTATAAGTAACTCCCAATGCACATTTTTCTGTGAGTTAAATGAAACACCCCTAATGTATGTATGTATGTATGTATGCATGTATATATATATATATTAGGGGTGTTTCATTTAAATCATGGAAAAATGTGGATTTGGAATTACTTTTTTTAACCAAAAATTGGGGATTTTTTTTTAATCAGAGAAAATCAGGATCCCTGCCATCATACTGTCCATGTTCTGTCTTGTCAGCATATGCCTTTGTTTCAACAAACCCATCACATGAACGCATCTTAATTTGAGTTTTACCGGTCTCCGTCCCCCAAAGCTGGAAATCCCAAGGGCTCTGCAGCTGGTCATCGTGACCTGGCTATTCATACAGCAGAGTCCCTTATCTCTGTTATGGAACAGTGTGATACATCTTCAGTTTCCCAGCCTGGTATGCCTGCTTGTCCGCTGGCCTCAGACATAGTGTTTGCTGGTTCCAGACACAGTTGGCCTTGAAGGAAAGTTGTCACAAACAGGCTTTTAGAAACCAATGAGCTCTTGTTGTTCCCCTGGACCATTGTTTTAATGCATGTCTACTTCACTGACAAGCCAATTCCCAAAAGCAAACCTCTAAATACCATTTTCTAGCCATCACTCACAAGCTACTGTTTTCATCCCATTCCCAACCCCTCTTCACCCCAGGGCATGTGTATGCAAGCATCCCCTCACAGCTGATCCTGCAACAAAAATGATATCTGTTTCTAGCCTCAGTCCTCAACTGCTTTATTTTTCTCTCTCTTACTCACCTTGCCTTTC